AAGCGAACACATTTCTGGACTGTCCACAAATCGGATCACCTTTGTCGCCAATGACAACTTAGACGTCTGACACTACCCTACGCAAGGAAGGAAACAGTCGTAGAGACATTTATCGGTTGTCCGAAAAATGCATTTCTGGATGCATGTTTTGAATACTCCATAGTCCTATTCTCCTACAAATCGCATCGCCTTACCACCTCCCACTCCGCCTCTTCCCTACTCCGCCTCCCTCATTCGCCTTTCAGAAGGCGTGATTCATCTGTCAGTTTGTGTTGCTTCCTAACTGGTATTTGAAATTCGTCTGTGGATCTGGGTGAACTGTCTGTTATCTCGATTGCATAACATGCCTCTGCCATCGAGAATTTGGCTTCTCGCCTTCCCTCGGTAGACCTCAATCCTGGCTAAATAACTAATCCTTATCACTTCTACAAAAACACAGAAATGTCTTAGTAAAGAAAAATAATTTTATCAAAATGGAAAAAAAAGGAAGAAGAAGAAGAGGAGTAAGAGGAAGAGAGAAGGAGGAGGGAAAATTGAGAGATGCAGAGACATTCAAATTCGAGGCACAAGTCTTTTGGCTTTAATGCCACAATTAAAAGCTCTTCACTACACCCCCAGCCCCCCCAGATCCTACCTCCCGTGGATGGGGGGTGGGGACGGGGAAGGGGGTGAGGGAGCGACAGGTACCAGGTGGAGGGAGAGGGTGAAGGGGAGGGGGAGGGGTAGAGAACTAGCAGTGCAACAGACGGACAGTGGAACTTTGACCATGGAGGCATGTGAAAACCTTGGACTTTGGAGTCTAGTCAGAAGTGCAGTGCAAGTCTGTTCTTCTGTCCTGTCAGGCTAATGTAAAAGGGCAAATTTACTCACTGTCTTTTTCTTTCTCCTCTCAAGACACCTGTCTTGAAGTGTTTCACTGTGGAGGAGGAAGAGAGAAACGTCAGTCTTCTTCTTCAGATTTACCAAGTGCGTAAGTAAGGCATAGCGAAGGAGGATGGAGTGGAGGTGAACGGGAAGGCCTCGGTAGACCAGACTGTCTATGTCTTCGTCCTGCCCTATCTCTGCATAGGCGTGTTTGAGTGTGTGGGTGTGGGTGTGCGTGCGCGTGGATTTGTAAACACCGCTGAAAGGAGGCATGTGTTGTCTTTGGCCCCTGTTGAGACACAGAAGGCAAAGTTCATGACGAGGCCTTCAAGCAACGCATCCATCGAGATTATATTGGCACTACTTAAAACTGTCCAACAAGCAACTCTACTACCGTGAGCACAGTGAGGTGGAGATATTGAGTGTGTGAGGAAGAGAAATCATTGAAAATCATTGAAAATAGACATTACGAAAGTGTCCACGTGCCTCCCTTGATTGGTGTCACATCAACCTCAGCACCACTGCCTTCTACGCATTCTACATCCAACACAAAGCTAATCCATACGCACACGCGTTGCCCCACCATCATCGGCATGACCGACACACCTTTGCCAAAATGTGCTCCCCTACACAAACACACACACATACACAGAATGTGTGGACTCGTAGAAGTTGGTGTGTGGGTGAGGGCAGACGTAGCATCGCGATAGGGGAGGTGCATGAAGGGGACTGGGGAAGAAATGAGGTGAGGAGTGTGTGTCACTTGCATCACAGAGCTGAGTTCTCATGAAGTGCTCACGTCTTCGTGACACGACCAAGCGGTGTGGGTGGCTGGAGGAGGTGGTGGTAGCGGTGGTGGTGTGGTGTGCGGCTTGTCGTCCGACTGCGACCACCGAATGTGTGGCGAGGCAAGTGTGAATGTGGAGTTCGTGGTGATGCGTGCATGTGGTGCTTGTGGGGGTGGTGGTGGCGACGGCGGCAGTGAGGGCGGCAGCGACGGCGATAGCATGTGGCATTGAAAGGTGTGAGGCGGATGTATGGAGGAGGGTGGAGGAGTGATGTCAGGTGAGGTGAGCAGATGCGACATGATGAAAGAAATGAGGTGCGAGTGAGTGGGTGAGAGGGAAGGAGGGGGAGGAGGAGGAGGAGGAGGAGAGTGGGGAAGTGGAAGTGAGGAATGCGAGTGTAGGGTCAAGTGGATGTGAAAATAGTGGTATTGGTA